ACAAATTTGATGAGCTGAAGGATATTATCAATAATAAGGTACAAAATATGGGTGTCAGTGAGACTAAAATTGATCGTTCATACCCACACTCCCAGTTCCTAATACCAGGCTACCACTTGCACCGAAATGACCGAAAAAAGGGTGGAGGTGCTGTTCTCTTGTTTGTCTCATCTAAGATACTCTCCAAGAGAGTCACCTTTGACATGTGTTATAAAACTATTGAGCCTTTGGCCTTGGAGATTGGCCTCAAATCGAGAAATGCGAATTATCCTGGTTATGTAAAGACCGCCCAAGAAGCTTACTGGTAAATACAGACTTCTAGTTGAGGAGGAATTAAGTCATATTGCCAACTGGGCTAGCATTCAATGTCCAACAGTTATAGTAACAGGCGACCTAAACCTGAACAGGATGGAACCCAGCAGCCTTGAAGGAAAGCTTCTGCTTGATCTTGAGGTGGAACAGGGCCTTGAATGTATGATAACCGAACCCACTCGAATACAAATGAGAGGCTCTCTTGTCACTAACAGCTTGATCGATGTTATTTTCACTAACCACCCGGAACTATTTGAGAATTGTGGGGTACATGATCCTGCACTCAGTGACCACGGACTTATTTATGGATTCTTGAATGAGACGGTAAAACACCAGAAAGGCAAGATTGTAACATTTAAATCTCTAAAGGATTTTGATGTGGAGAGATACAAAGAAGATCTAGTGTATGCTCCTTGGCATGTTAGTGAATTTTTCAATTCATGTAACGACAAGGCAAATTTTATGGAAATGCTTCTGTCCAGTATTGTCAATACACATATGCCTACGTCGAAGATGCGGGTTAGGGCTCAGGATGTTCCATACATGACTAAAGAATGGAAAGGTGCTATGAGAGCTAAGAGGAGGGCGGCAAGAAAGTATCTCAAGGAACAAAACAGTGAGAACTGGGAAGCTATGCGGATAGCCAGAAACGAGGCCACCCGATTCCGGATAAAGGCAATAAGGACATATTGGAAAGAGCAAGCCACTAAGTTTAAGTGCAAGCCGAGTGAGTTCTATAAGACATTTATGCCATTTCTGACTGACAAGTACAAGGTTAGCACAAATGAGCTCAGCCTAAGTATCAATGGGACCATCTGTAGAGATCAATGTGCGGTTTCTAATCACTTGTCTGAATATTTTGCTACTGTGGCTGATGGGATTGGAGACAACAGTGCGGTTGATGACAAAGTTCTCGCCACCCACCCTAGTGTCCAGAATAATACGCAGAAGATGACAGGATCATGGCTTCCAGTTTCAGAATCTTCAGAGTTTTGAAGTTGAAAAGGCGCTGCAAAACCCCAACGTAAGGAAGAGTACAGGCTGGGACGGCATCCCACCCATGGCGCTCAAGCTTGGAGCTACTGAGCTAACAAATCCATTGACGTCACTATTTAATTCATGTATAACCCTCGGAGAGTGGCCCTTGGGATGGAAAAGCGGTGAACGGACACCCGTTTTTAAGAAGGAAGATCCCCATGAAAAGGGAAACTACAGACCCAGACTGTACAAGTTACTGTAAACAGACTCTTTGAACAATTACTCAGCAAGCAACTCAGTTATGGTTTTAATATCAAACTGTGCGACAAACGTTGTGGGAGTTCTCTCCACGGACATGAGCAAAGCCTTCGATTCACTTTACCATCCACTTACACTTGCAAAAATTAAAGCTTATGGTGTTGAGGAAGGAAGTCTGCGATTGATGGGCTCCTATTTCACAGACCGTTATAACAGGGTGAAGTTAGGATCTGTAGTGAGTAAGTGGCAGAGGGTGACCAGGGGATGCCCACAGGGTTCTGCATTTGGACCTCTTATCTGGAACATTTTCCAAAACGATTTGACTTATACTGTTGTTGCGAACATGAATATGTATGTAGATGACCACCAGTTTTATGCCGTTAGCAGTACCCTCTCTGATGTGCATGATGATCTTGCTGTTTGCGCTGAGTCAGCATCTTCATGGTACAGAGCTAATTTACTAAAAGGAAATTTGGACAATTACCAGACAATGGCACTTGGTTGCCGAAGGGAGTCTATGGACAGTATTATGATTGACAATCATGAAGTCAGATCCACTGAATGTCTCAAGCTATTAGGTGTCTGTATTGATAACGATCTTCGTTTTGATGTACATATAAGTAGTATCTCTAAGAAGAGCGCCCAGCGGGTAGGCGTTCTCATGGGGCTTAGGAACCTTATAGCCACACAAACTAAGTTATAGTTATATAAGGCAGCTGTTCTCCCGTATTTAACCTACTGTCATCTTATATAGCATTTTTGCAGTGCTAGTGATTCTAGAAGACTAGAACGTATCCAGGAGAGAGCACTTAGGGCTATATATTGTGATAAACATTCGTCCTACGGTCAATTAGTATCTATAGCCGGGCCATCTACTCTACACAACTGGCGACTACAGGACATAGCTATTCTCATGTATAAAGTTAAAAACATGTGCCCAACATACATTAGCAATCTCTTTTTAAACCTGCAATTAACTATATACTGCGCAATCATGACTTCACTATACCCAGATTCAACACAGTCTCCTTTGGAAAGCACTCGCTCAGGTATATGGGCTCAAAGGTATGGAGCTCTGTTCCTAGTAACGTGTGAAAAAAGCTTCCAAGTTGTCCTCCTTCAAGTATAACATCGGATGACAATAACTGCTCTCTTTGCATTTTTTAATTTTTTATTTCTTATTTTTTATAAGATAATGGATACATTTGCACATATCGTATATAGTTCTCCCGACTTTCTTATTTGCTTATACTGTACACAGTTTTTTCTTAATTTCTTAATTCTTATATTCTTTTTTTCCATTTTTAATTAATTAATTAATTGATTTATTCTTTTTTAACTTATTATTGTGACACTTTAATAAAGGTATCATCATCATCATCATGCTTGCACTGCACTTTGCACTGTGGGTGTTACTGAGGAAACTTTTGTTGCTTGGTCCTGCACAGAAGTTGGTGGGACCACATGTGTTACTGGGGACTCAGATATTGCTTGCACCAGGTGCTCGTAATGTGGTGTTTTGGAGGTTTGTTCTAAACCAAATGATGGAAAGAAAAAAAAAAATATGTCATAGGGTGGTCACAAACCACAAAAACTTTCCTTAGTGGCCACAGTAAAACTCACATCTGTCGCTGTAAACGATAGATGAGGTAATTTTGGAATAGCGAATTACACTAAACATTAATTTACAATACGTTAGTACGGCTAGTAACCCCTATGTAACGGATACTAAGTCCATCATGTAACGTCCCGTTTAATTCTTTTATTCCACTGTAACTTTTGGAACTATGTGTAACAGGTTATAACCCCTTTTGACAATTTGAATCTTAGGACCGTGTATGGGGGCTACATATACAGTGCAATTAAACGACAGCATTGTTTGTTTTTTTAATCGACTCATGCTATGTGTTTGTTTCACTGTATTTGCGTGTATACATTAGTCACTCACCTCAATAGTGAAAATTTGGACATCAATCCCTTCTACTTTTTAAATAACCTATTCAAGTGACATTCACATGGCCATCCTAGTACGATATTGAGTTCTCTGTAGTCTCTGTGGTTCTTTTTAGTTTTTGTTTTTGTTCATTGAAAACCACAGGGTCACCAGCATTTTTTGCAATGAAACCAGGGAAGTCACATCCCTTAACTTGCATACAAATGATTGTCAGTTCTAATAAATTTACAGCTACATTGTTCCCCTACTTACGCACACTTGTGTAAATGTCTTATATAGTGTGAAATAAAGAAAGATTGAAAGATTGAAAGATTGAAAGATTTGGCTCTGAATTTCGTTACTTACTTGAACCAGTGGTAGTACCGTAACCACCAGTGACAATAAGATTCAGTTCCTTATAAGTGCATCCCCCTCGGTTAACTGCCTGGCAGAAATATCTCCCACGGTCATCTGGCTGTACTTTACCCAAATTCAGAATACAGGTTTTATTCGGCGGGTAGGGTTTTTTGCAAGTGCAGTCAGGCATCTCCAGATACGTTGAGTTGACAAACCAGTTCATTTCATACGGATAAAAGTAGTGGGAGCTTGCCCACACAGATGGCTCTTTCGGCCCCTTTGCAGTGCATGTCAAGGCAACATTGGAGTCCTTTTGCACAAGAATATCGTTGTAAAAACGTTGTGGATTTTCTGAAAGCGAACTGTCATCATGAACAGTGGCAAAGAAGTCCACTTGTGGGGCGTCTTACATATATTTAAAAGAAAAAGATATTCAAGAGGACAATTCTTATCAATAATACAATGTCTTAAATTATTTTTATTATGTACTCTCCACCCACCCCTACACCGCAAGATCAAGCCAACAAATCAATAAGGATGAATCAAGGAAGCGGTGCGAACGCCAAAAGGTGGAATTTTTTTTGGAAGGGGTAGGGGGATTACTTGATTTTTAGGAGAACAAAAGAGGGGATCGGTCGTAATTGAGACCCCAAAACGGGAGATCACTGAAAACTTTGGAAGGATCAGGGCAGAGGAGAAACCGCTCAAATTTGCTTGGAAAATGAAGACATTGGGTGGGGGGATCGCGAAAGTCATCAAGTGTTATTAGGGAGATCACAGTCAGTGAAGTAACACTCAAAGGGGGGATGTTTCTCGTCACCCACCAATTCTAAACCAGGATAGAATATTTTGAAGAGAATTCGCGTAAATTTTCCATAATTAGACGAACCTTTTCCCAGGATTCAGCAGCACCACCAGTATATCAAGCTGTGTCAAGAGTCTAGCTGAAGGCGAGCAGAGGTTGCGAAATACTTAGTTTTAAAATCAAAGCACTCTCTCTCCGTTTTATTTGGGAAACTGATCGAAGCTAGTATGCATGCATTCTGGAGCTGAAGAGGAAGCTTTTTAACTTTCCAGCTCCGCTTTTAGACTACCCAGTATCTAGCCTGTGTGAAATCGTGCCCGTGAGTCACGCGCTGCTAGTCATACAAAGCTTTTTTTGAAAGTGTCGAAATAGCGTCGACTCCACTCTATGCCCAACAAATCACAAACGCTCAGCTGCGAAGCCAGTTTTGTTTACCTGATCGCTTGGTCATTTTAAATTAAGAAAGAATACTACTGTCAAACAATTAGAAAAAAGGATTTTCCAAAATTCCTAAAAATTCTCTGACTGCTGGGCATTTAGTTTTTTGTATGACCCTTCTCGGCTGCCGAGTATATAGCCACAGCGTATATACATACAACAAAGTGAATCTATCTAACCGTAGAGTTCAGTAATTGCACCAATAGAGAGCTTAAACAACAACTTTTAACGTTGATCGCGATTTCTTAGCCGTCGTTGTACGACTACAACGTGAAAATGGGGAAAATTACATCATTACATCATTGGCAAACAGCGAACACAAACGTGATCAACTTAATGCCTAGATTTCAGTCATCGCCGAAGATAAACAACATGCTCATCACGAGACTCATTTGAATACAATGAAAGTCGTGACGATTCTTATCCCCAGCCTCCACGGTCTCCCCTAAGAATGTCTCGGAGTATATAGCCTACCATTTGGGTCGGTCACACGAAAAAAAAAACAGAAAAGAAAGAAAAGCCTGCATTTTTAGAATCTCGCTCGCTTACAGCAAGCTTATCAATTAATCAGTTCTCTTACTTCCATATGCTGTTTTCCCACAGTGCTGTCCCCAACTTTCCAATACGCTCGCCCATACCAAGAAAATTACCAAGAACGTGGTAGAATGCAATCTTCGAGAAGTAGCCATTTTACATCAAATTCAATCTAAAAAAATTCAGCAGTACTCATTACTCGTTTGAACATTTCAATTGCTTGCTTTGAAAAAGTTCAATATTTTTATAGCTTTCTTATCGATCATATGTTTTTTCCAAACAGTGACTTAATAATAATAATATTTATAATCGTAACATATTTTTGCAGAATGAACATTTAAGATATAAAAACTATTATAATCATAATATCAACGTGGGTCCTGACTTCACCCTTAAAAATTACTCAAAGGATATTTTTTCCCCTTTGGAATCGCGTCATGCCTCTTTTTTTAATTTGCGGACGAGAATCCTCATATCACTTGCGGAGGGCAAGCATTGCTGAGGTTGACCTTGTTAGAGTGTAGCTAAATGTCGTGGGTCGTGGGTCTTGGGTGTGGGTCGTGGGTGTGGGTGTGGGTAAATGTCGTGGGTAAAAAAGTGTAGAAAAAAAATGATAAAGTAAAGTATTTGAAGGAAAAAAAAAAAGAAAAACATTGTAAAATATTTATGAAACGAAAATCTCAAACTCCTTAATTGCCTTTTTCGTCACGGCTTCTTCGTCCTCTTCCTGATATTTCTTTAGTTACGTGGGACTTGGCTACCCTTTCACAACATCACTGTATAAAAGGCATCTTGCCGATGAAGATTTATCCATACCTGGGCTATCGCCGCGAAATAAAAGACACAGACGTAAATAACACCTGCAATTTGCAGAAAGTATGAGACAACTCTGAATCGCTGAATGGAAAAAGCTGCTCTTTATTAATCTTTATTCGATCTACAATTCAGTGATCAGCTGAGATTTTTTAACACGATGGAATGCGATCAACGTGAGAAAGGGGAGGGAAAAAGGACAGATTTGAGGTATTTCATATCTTTAGATAGAAGTCTTTCTTAAAGAAGTTTTAGGTCTCTTACCTTACGAAGGAACCACCATCATTCCCAACCTTTCAAGTTAAGGCGAAACTGTATGTAAATTTTATTGCCGTACGGAAATACAATTTTCTCGTTTTGTTTTTTGTTTTGTTTTGCGTACAAAATCTTTGCTGTAACGATTCGACATATCATTCCTTATACTGAAAGGACGTTTCAGTCACGAATGTTGACATCTTTGAGAAAAAGCAGTTCAGTCTCCAGTTTTTCTATAGCCTGCTCCAGGTTTACATGGTGTAAAGGGTTTCTTTCGGTGATTTTTCACCTAAATGCCTTTTGGTGTCCGTTTGTACTAAAGGATTAGCTTATTAGCTTTACTGATCGCGGGGAAGGGGAATATGACTGGTATGTACGCGGAGATTTTCGTTTCATGAATTTTACAGCTTTTTCCTATTTAATTTTTTAATTTTTTACTTTGTTTGGAAGACCTTCTTTTTACCCACGACATTTACCCACACCCAGACCCACGACCCACTACCCACGACCCACGACCTCTTCCCACTACCCACAACCCACGACATTTAGTTACACTCACCTTGTTATGATACAAACGTACCTCTTTCCTTTTCTTATGGAAATTATGTAACCTGAGATCAGGCTCAGTTTTCGTTTCGCTTTGTAACTAGCATTCTGGCGAGCAAGGCGAAACGAAAAGAGAGCCTGATACAAACCTTCTTCTACGAAACGTCTGCGCCCACTTTTTTGATTGATTGACATTTGCTGAATCAGCAAACAAAATTACTTCCGAAAGTGGAGAATGATCATCGCAGTAAATTTTCCAATTTAAGCAATTGGAAAGAAGAAGCCTGAAAGTAAATAAATAAATAAATAAAATAAATAAAAAACAAAAATAAAATAAAATAAAAAAATAAAAAAAATCAGGGCTTCAACGGGATTCGAATCCCGTTGAAGCCCTGATTTTTTTTTTTTTTTTTTTTTCAGGCCTCTTCTTTCCAATTGCTTAAATTGGAACATTTACTGCGATGATCATTCTTCACTTTCATCTACAACCGCAATTCAAAAATGAATTATTTCATTTATACTTCACATCAAAATTACTTCCGTTGCTTGTTTTTTTAGTATGCAAATTTTTCGTACGTGGGAAAACTGCACACTCGCTGACATAAAGAATAGCTTTTACCTACTAAAAATAAAACAGTCAGCACAATCACATTTAACTTCTTGGGAGATTAGAGGAGATGTCGAAGGTTATTTCTGTTGGAGTAGAAAGCAAAGAGGTTTCGAAAAGACGGCCACACGATGTTCAAGTTTTAATATTTTGGCTAGGCGCGCTCGAATTTAAAATACTGAAATTTCTGTTTTTCCTTTGCCTTTATATTTTCCTAGGCAATTTTCCCCTATTTTCAGTACATAAATCTTTAAAAATCTTGGAGAAATAATTCGTGAACTTTATTTTTCAAAGGATATATAAATATCTCAGAACAAACCAAACGAGTTCTCAATTTTTTAATTTTGTCCGGTGAGTACACTTGCAATGTGCAAATTTGTATGTGTAATCAAATGGTGACGAGTGAAATTAGGGAATAATTTCACGCGCGTTTTGTCCAAATCCTTATAATTTCCCGAGCCTTTTACTAGGATTTGGACAAAACGCAAGCGAAATTATTCCCTAATTTGACGAGTATACCATTTGATTACCTATTAATATCATGGGTGACGAATTACGTTAGCAATCTTGGATTTTTGACATGTTTATCCTCGATCGTATCGATCGAGAACTCCACTCTCTCGAACGTTTAGAACTCAAATTTGACTCAAGTTTGGAATTTTTCGACAAAATACCTGTTAGAATCCTTCTTGATGTGCTCTTTGGTGTGTTCAGGTTTTCTAAAGCGTCTTTATATGCCCTGGCATCTTGATTCATGACATTTTAAAACTTGAGAGACTCTGACACTGAGACGTACGGAAGGTTGCCAGGGCAATTTTGTAATTTCACGTGTGAAAATTATCGCTGAAATTTCGGTAGGTACTTTAAGTAGGGTTATTAAAGTGTATCAAGAATGCATTTAAAATAATGTATTGACATGTATAGCCATGTAATGTCGTGTATAGCCATGTACAGCCATATATAGCCATGTATTACCATGTATCACCATGTATAGCCATGTATTACCATGTATTGCCATGTAATGCCATGTATAGCCATGTATTACCATGTATAGCTATGTATTGCCATGTACAGCCATGTATTACCATGTAATACCATGTATAGCCATGTATTACCATGTATAGCAATGTATTGCCATGTACAGCCATGTATTACCATGTAATGCCATGTATAGCCATGTATTACCATGTATAGCAATGTATTGCCATGTACAGCCATGTATTACCATGTATTACCATGTATCACCATGTATTACCATGTATCACCATCTATTGCCATGTATTACCATGTACTGCCATGTATAGCCATGTATAGCCATGTAATGCTATGTATAGCCATGTATAGCCATGTAATGCCATGTATAGCCATGTATTACCGTATATTACCATGTTTAACCATGTATTACCATGTATTACCATGTATACCCATGTAGTGCAATGTATTGCCATGTAATGCCATTTATAGCCATGATTAGCCATGTATAGCCATTTATTACCATGCATCACCATGTATAGCCATGTATTGCCATATTGCCATGTACAGCCATGTATTACCATGTAATACCATGTATAGCCATGTATACCCATGTCATGCCATGTATTGCCGTGTATAGCCATGTATAGTCATGTATTACCATGTAATACCATGTATAGCCATGTATTAGATAGATAGATAGATAGATAGATAGATAGATAGATAGATAGATAGATAGATAGTTTATTAAAATATCGAACATGGCAGTCCGTAGACTGAATTGCGTTACAATTACTTACAACAAAGATTAAATAAATTCCAAAATTATAAATACTAATTGAAATTATAACAAAAAACATTTCTATAAAAATGCGAAAAACTCTCTACATATAACTAGGTACAAACTAGTCCAAAAAATTATGTACACATACTTGGAATAAAAGTGTTCTTAAAACGATTTGTATGTGTGCGGGGCATGGCATAGGCCCTGGACTGTCTTAGATTATGTCTGTGTTCTCTCTTAGGAGGTAAGACAGGCACAAGTTTGTGATCCGGGCATGACGTGATAGACTCGAAAAGTTTGCTACACAGGGCCACGCGTCTAGCGTGCAAGGTTACTAAATCGAACCTGACCAAACATTCTGAATACGACGCATAAGGACAAATGATGGAGAGCGCTCTCTTTTGCACTCGTTCGATGTCGTCACTAAGATACTGTGGAAGCGCATGATGAAAAACTGGCGCACAGTACTCTAAAACAGGTCTTATCACGGTGCAGTAAAAATTTACAATGGAGCTCAGTGGAACGTTGGCGCGCTTTAGAAGAACAATAAAATAAAGGCGCTTGTTCGCTTTCTTAATGCACTCTGAGATGTGTTCGTTCCATTTTAAATCTGAGCTAATAGTGACTCCTAAGATTTTTACACTGTTTGATACTGATAGTTATTTGCCATTTATCACAATTGGTGGAAAATTGTGAGTATTACCATGTATAGCCATGTATTGCCATGTACAGCCCTGTATTACCATGTATAGCCATGTATTACCATCTACAGGCATGTATTGCCATATGTACAGCCATGTATTACCATGTATTGCCATGTATTACCATGTAATCCCATCTATAGGCATGTATTACCATGTATAGCCATGTATACCCATGTAATGCAATGTATTGCCATGTAATGCCATGTATAGCCATGTATAGCCATGTAATCCCATATATTGCCATGTATTACCATGTAATGCCATGTATAGCCATGTATAGCCATGTATTAATATGTATAGCCATGTATTACCATGTATAGCCATGTATACCCATTTATAGCCATGTATAGCCATGTATAGCCATGTATTAATATGTATAGCCATGTATTACCATGTATAGCCATGTATTGCCATGTACAGCCGTGTACTACCATGTATTTCCATGTATCACCATGTATAGCCATGTATAGCCATGTATTACCATTTATCACCATGTATAGCCATGTATTACCATGTAATACCATGTAAAGCCATGTATTGCCATGTATTACCATGTATTGCTATGTACTACCATGTATCACCATGTATTACCATGTATAGCCATGGATAGCCATGTATACCCATGTAATGCCATATATTGCCATGTGTTACCATGTATAGCCATGTATAGCCATGTAATGCCATATATTGCCATGTATTACCATGTATTGCCATGTATTGCTATGTATAGCCATGTATTACCATATACTGCCATGTGTTACCATGTATTAACATGTATCACCATGTATTGCCATGTATTACCATGAATTGCCATGTATAGCCATGTATAGCCATGTATAGCCATGTAATGCCATGTATAGCCATGTATTACCGTGTATTACCATGTTTTCCCATTTATTACTATGTATTACCATGTATAGCCATGTACACCCATGTAATGCCATATATTGCCATGTATTACCATGTATAGCCATGTATAGCCATGTATAGCCATGTATAGCCATGTACAGCTATGTATAGCCTTGTAATGCCATATATTGCCATGTATTACCATGTATTGCCATGTTTGCTATCTATAGCCATGTATTACCATGTACTGCCATGTATAAGCATGTATTTCCATGTACTGCCATGTATTACCATGTATTACCATGTACTGCCATGTATCAGCATGTATTTCCATGTACTGCCATGTATTGCCATGTATAGCCATGCAATGCCATCTATTGCCATGCATTACCATGTAATGCCATGTATAGCCATGTATTACATGTATAGCCATGTATTACCATGTATAGCATGTATTGCCATGTACAGCTATGTACTACCATGTATTGCCATGTATCACAATGTATAGCCATGTATAGCCATGTATTACCATTTATCACCATGTATAGCCATGTATTACCATGTAATGTATTTTTAAGCTATATTTGAAAACTGTTTTTAACCTGTTTTGTGAAATAGGTTTTAAATAGAGTGAAAAGTGTATTTTTAATGTATTTTTCGACTGCTTTTAAAGGTGTTTTAACCTGTTTAAAATGCTATTAAAAAACAATTTTTAAAGTGTTTTAAAATTCGTTTAAAATATAAAAAAAAATCCCAGGGCTTTTGAAAGGCTCAAAACAGGTCTAAAACAGTTTTTAAATACCTTATAAATCGGAATAAAAACAGGATAAAAACAGTTTTAAAAACATATTTTAATTTGCTATACTATTTTAAAACTATTTTAATGGCAATTTTAAACGTATTTTGACAAAAACAGGTTTAAAATAGGTACAAAAATATATTTTTAATATATTTTTCGACTGATTTTAAAGGTGTTTTAACCTGTTTAAAACGCCATTAAAATGTTATGCTTCAAAATATATTTTAATAGCTGTTTAATCGGTCTCGAAATTTAGTAAAATACTGGTATTTGCAAATACAATAAAAATACTTTGAAAATAGTATTAAAATACCACAGAAGAAGAAAAGCAATAGCACGCATATATTAGGGGTGGCGAATGGTAAATGCGAGACGGCGAGACTAGCGTTTTTCTTTGCGAGCCCGAGACATTTTGACTTTTTAGATTGCGAGACCGAAACTTCAAAGTGTTTTGAGTGCGAGCGCGAGACGTTTAGACTCTTAAAATTCGAGCCCCAGATTTGGTTCAGAGCTATGAGAAGATTAGTCTGCTACACAGCCGTTTTTAGTGTCGTCACGCAATGCAATGCAGGAGCGTTGCGTGACGACACTAAAAACGGCTGTGTAGCAGACTATGAGAAGATATGACAATGAGCTAGAATTAGCTTGTACAAAAGTCTTACGAAGGAGGCTTTTGTTGCAAACCTGTCAACAGTCAATAAACTCTATTATTTTCCTGGCCATGACCTAATTTCCGGTCAAGAGGTTACACTTGGTCGTTTGCCTTTGCGCGGCTGTGTTTGAACTCAGTTGAAGCTAGTTGAGTGGAAACGTTCCAGGGGCACCCAACGGCAATTTTCGGGAAAATATATAGCTATATCTGTTCGGAAGACGATTTGAGAACTAGAATTTTCGGAACATTTGTTGTAAAATTTCTTGCTTGCCTGCCTCTCCTAGGATTTTCGAACATCTACAAAATGGTATAATTACCCATTTTAAACGGATATTTACCCTAAAAAAGGCTACCTAGAATTTTCGGAAGCCTTTTCCTGGCTCAAATTTTCGAAAAGGTAAGTTTTGATCCCTATAATTTTCGGATCACTAGACTTTCAGCTAGGAAATCCGAACAGATGAAAAGTTTTTAGGGGATAAAAATATGCCTATATCTACCGTTTAAAAACTAAAATGCGTTCAACAATGCTATGTTAAGTGGTTTGGAACTATATCCTCGTTGGGTACCTCTGACGTTCATGCGTTAAAACCATGGAGGAAACGGACTGAAATGGAGGAAAAGTCGTCTTCTTCTCATCGGAAACGAAAGCACGAATCACGTAAGTACTCTATTAATGTTTGTATTTATCAATGTGCCGACAATTCGTCTTAGTCTATCAGTAGAACTTCAATCCCGGATACGACAAAACAACCACGCCATGCTTAACCAGTTAGGTCCCACGGTTCATCATTCATCCAGGTTCGATTCTATTACTATAAGACTAAGCTAAGCTAAGCTACAGTACTATAGCTAATTATGAAAGGCATCTATAGGCTGCAAGTTGCATTGATGGTGGTTTTAGCTCGGATTGTTCGCTCAAGATGGCAAAAGCTGGCAAAATAGGTCAAAATATTAAAACTACAATGTGAGCTAATGTGAGCGGCAAACCGGGTCTAGCTCAGGTCTGTGACGTCAATTCATAATTTAATTCATGAGGCGCTCCTGGTCGCCGGAAATATTATCTGACTACAACCTACAGCTTTAAACATTTATACATTTGCCGTTCTATTTCTTTAAAAGTTTGCTTTTCTAACCTATTCTGTTTCACATCATTGCTGCGGAAGAGCGCTGTATGCATGGATACAGAACAACTGCTCCAAAATCATAAGACAAAAGGGAAAGAAAAAAGACAAACAAAACAAACCATAAAACAGAAGTAACCGAATATATACTTTACATTGTTATCAGAGTCAAGTGGCATAAAAAGAAGCAAAAAGAGAAAATGATGAATCGACTGCAGATTAACAGTTGACATAAGCTTATAGCTAGCTATAGCTGTTTGGTTAAAAGTCGTTAAAACTCGGTCTCAGAACTCGTCCGATTGCATGGATGAATTGAGATTACAGAGAACAATTAAAACTTATTAAAAGGGTTCCAGATGACCATCGAACAAATTACAAGAAGAAAGATGGAAATATCTTATTCAATTGTCCATGTACGAGGCACTAGGGCACTGTTAGGTGAGTAATAGTAACTTTTTTGTTTTACTGGGAATATTTGTGCTTTTACAGTTCCACAGGGGACAACCGATAAGTTCTCCGACTTCGTGGGTTTCATCATGAGCTATCGTGAGGTTGTGTGGGTTTCTTCATTCGACTTTCAGCCTTTTGGCCAGCTTCTGTGTAAGCTTGTGTATTTGCTGGAACTGGAAATTCGACTATAACACTACGTTATGATATGCTACAACAAAATAACTGTTTTTCTGGCTCCAAAATGACGTTGCGGTAATTTTTCTAGCTTTTTGTAGAATTCAGACAATTTAGGAGAAGTTAGGATGAACTTTTTCTCGGAAATTAAAAGTTGCGTTACTGAAATTCAATATCAAGTGACGAGAAGACGTCATTTTAAAAAAATACAAACCAACGAAACGGGACTTCGGAACCCTTAAACATTGCAAAAAAATCGAGACTCCGAGACACCTTCGTATAAAAAACGAGACTGCGAGACGCACATAACCGCTCAAAAAACGAGACTGCGAGACCCGTGATATTCGACTAAAATTTTGAGAGACCCAGAGTTTTTGAAGAACCATTCGCCACCCCTTATATTGTGAAAATACATCAAAAATAGGATGCAAAAATGCAAAAACAGGATAAAATTGTAAGAAAATAGCCTTAGAGTTGTCTGAAAACAGTACAAAAATCGGTCGAAAGAGCATACAAACAGTACAAAAACAGGATAAAAATACCATTTAAATTCATGGAATAAAATGACTACATAACCGTCGAAAATTACCCTGAAAAAGCAAGATTTACCTCTGCGAAATTTCTCCACACAGTCCTAGGCCAGGACTTCACGAGAATTATCTCTTAGCTGATTACTTTACGTTGATTTCCCTACGTATTCTCGGGAAATTCTTATGGAATTTTTCAGAAATGCTGAAATCAATTTTTAACCTGTGTACAGACCCCCTCCCCTCAATAAAGATCGGAGGGGAGGGGGTCTGTACACAGGCTATCAATCTTCGGCTTCAAAAGAGATTTGCGTTACTGACGTTACCGGTAAATAATAATCTACATACATGTAACTTACATTATTTATTATATTCACGGCTTTACTCAAGTATTATCAGAAGCTTGCAGGCTACGCCTGAACATTAATTATTGGCTGATATAGAACAACATAAGAATAACACCATCAATTTGCTATATACTACCATGTATCACCATGTATTACCATGTATAGCCATGTATACCCATGTATACCCATGTAATGCCATATATTGCCATGTATTACCATGTATAGCCATGTAATGCCATTTATTGCCATGTATTACCATGTATTGCCATGTATTGCTATGTATAGCTATGTATTACCATGTACTGCCATGTGTAAGCATGTATTTCCATGTATTGCCATGTATTACCATGTATTGCCATGTATAGCCATGTATAGCCATGCAATGCTATGTATAGCCATGTATAGCCATGTAATGCCATGTATAGCCATGTATTACCGTGTACTACCATGTTTTCCCATTTATTACTATGTATTACCATGTATTGCCATGTATTACCATGTATAGCCATGTATAGCCATGTATACCCATGTAATGCCATATATTGCCATGTATTACCATGTATAGCCATGTATAGCCATGTATAGCCATGTACAGCCATGTATAGCCATGTAATGCCATATATTGCCATGTATTACCATGTACTACCATGTATAAGCATGTATTTCCATGTACTGCCATGTATTACCATGTATTACCATGTACTGCCATGTATCAGCATGTATTTCCATGTACTGCCATGTATTACCATGTATTGCCATGTATCACCATGTATTGCCATGTATTACCATGTACAGCCATGTAATAGCCATGTAATAGCCATGTATAGCCATGTAATGCTATGTATAGCCATGTATAGCCATGTAATGCCATGTATAGGCATGTATTACCGTTTATTACCATGTTTTACCATGTATTACTATGTATTACCATGTATTGCCATGCATTACCATGTATCGCCATGTTTTTACCATGTATAGCCACGTATTGCCATGTATAGCCATATATTACCATGTACTGCCATGTATAGCCATGTATTGCCATGTACTGCCCTGTATAGCCATGTATTGCCATGTATTACCATGTAAAGCCATGTACTGCCATTTATTGCGTTGTATTACCATATATTACCATGTATTGTCATGTATTACCATGTTTTGCGATGTATTGCTATGTATCGCCATGTATTACCATGTGTTGCCATATATTTACATCTAATGCCATGTATAGCCATGTATTGCCATTTATGGCCACGTATTACCTTGTGCTGCCATGTATCGGCATGTTTTCCCATTTATTACTATGTATTACCATGTATTGCCATGTATTACCATGTATAGCCATGTATAGCCATGTATACCCATGTAATGCCATATATTGCCATGTATTACCATGTATAGCCATGTATAGCCATGTATAGCCATGTACAGCCATGTATAGCCATGTAATGCCATATATTGCCATGTATTACCATGTACTACCATGTATAAGCATGTATTTCCATGTACTGCCATGTATTACCATGTATTACCATGTACTGCCATGTATCAGCATGTATTTCCATGTACTGCCATGTATTACCATGTATTGCCATGTATCACCATGTATTGCCATGTATTACCATGTACAGCCATGTAATAGCCATGTAATAGCCATGTATAGCCATGTAATGCTATGTATAGCCATGTATAGCCATGTAATGCCATGTATAGGCATGTATTACCGTTTATTACCATGTTTTACCATGTATTACTATGTATTACCATGTATTGCCATGCATTACCATGTATCGCCATGTTTTTACCATGTATAGCCACGTATTGCCATGTATAGCCATATATTACCATGTACTGCCATGTATAGCCATGTATTGCCATGTACTGCCCTGTATAGCCATGTAATGCCATGTATTACCATGTAAAGCCATGTACTGCCATTTATTGCGTTGTATTACCATATATTACCATGTATTGTCATGTATTACCATGTTTTGCGATGTATTGCTATGTATCGCCATGTATTACCATGTGTTGCCATATATTTACATCTAATGCCATGTATAGCCATGTATTGCCATTTATGGCCACGTATTACCTTGTGCTGCCATGTATCGGCATGTTTTCCCATTTATTACTATGTATTACCATGTATTGCCATGTATTACCATGTATAGCCATGTATAGCCATGTATACCCATGTAATGCCATATATTGCCATGTATTACCATGTATAGCCATGTATAGCCATGTATAGCCATGTACAGCCATGTATAGCCATGTAATGCCATATATTGCCATGTATTACCATGTACTACCATGTATAAGCATGTATTTCCATGTACTGCCATGTATTACCATGTATTACCATGTACTGCCATGTATCAGCATGTATTTCCATGTACTGCCATGTATTACCATGTATTGCCATGTATCACCATGTATTGCCATGTATTACCATGTACAGCCATGTAATAGCCATGTAATAGCCATGTATAGCCATGTAATGCTATGTATAGCCATGTATAGCCATGTAATGCCATGTATAGGCATGTATTACCGTTTATTACCATGTTTTACCATGTATTACTATGTATTACCATGTATTGCCATGCATTACCATGTATCGCCATGTTTTTACCATGTATAGCCACGTATTGCCATGTATAGCCATATATTACCATGTACTGCCATGTATAGCCATGTATTGCCATGTACTGCCCTGTATAGCCATGTATTGCCATGTATTACCATGTAAAGCCATGTACTGCCATTTATTGCGTTGTATTACCATATATTACCATGTATTGTCATGTATTACCATGTTTTGCGATGTATTGCTATGTATCGCCATGTATTACCATGTGTTGCCATATATTTACATCTAATGCCATGTATAGCCATGTATTGCCATTTATGGCCACGTATTACCTTGTGCTGCCATGTATCGGCATGTATTGCCATGTATTGCTATGTATAGCCATGTATTACCATTTACTGTCATGTATAGGCATGTATTTCTATGTATCGCCATGCATGTATTACTATGTATAGCCACGTATTGCCATGTCTAGCCATGTATTACCATGTACTGTTATGTCTAGCCATGTATTGCCATGTTTTACTATGTATTACCATGTATTGCCATGTATTACTATGTATAGCCATGTATTGCCATGTTTTACCATGTACAGCCATGTGATTCCATGTATTACTATGTATTGCCATGTATTGCCATGTATAGCCATGTATTACCATGTATAGCGATGTAATGACATGCATAGCCATTTAATGCCATGTATTGCCATGTATTGCCATGTATTACTATGTATTACCATGTATCGCCATGTATTACCATGTATATCCATGTATTGCCATGTATTGCCATCTATAGCCATGTACTGCCATGTATATAGCCATGTATTGCCTTAGTCTTTCCATGTATTGCCATGTATAGCCAATTAATGCCATGTATCGCCATCTATTGCCATGTATTGCCATGTATGCCCATGTACTGCCATGTTTTATCATGTATTGCCATGCATTACCATGCAATGCCATAAAAAATCGGATGAGTTTATAAATTGAGGTTCTTCTTTTCTGAATTTTACGGTATTGTGCTAGCTTGAGATTATAGGAAATCCTATTTTCATTTTTCATATTTATTTCTGCAATCTTGCATACTGTGAATCTACGACGAGTCAGTGATGAAATTTTTGCCGGCTTAGTTGTCCTGAATTTTTAGATGAATTTTATGCCTTTAAAATTGTTATAAATCTTTTCAAATAAAGAGGTTCTGAATGGATGTTTTCTTGAAATATTCACTGTTCTTTACGCACGTACGAATGCCGATTTGAATTTAACACTATAAGAGGGAACGACTAAGGGACTCATTTTTCAACTGAATAATCAATTTATTAATAGAATCTAGGGAGGTATGTTTGACAATACTGTGACAATAGTGTATTTGATTCATTGGTCCTGGTGGTGGACTTAACCCTCCCCTCACAGCCATCCTCTCCACGCATTTATTTATGTTTTCAGCGATTCACTTCCAGTCAGTACAGGAATTGATAGTTCTGCAACGTGCGGAAAAATTGATGTTTTCGAAACGCCAACATCGGCTAAAAAAAAGATATATTTAACAATTATTCCACGAGGGCGCGTTGGATACGAGATGATAGATAGCCAACGAGGCGCGTAACGCCGAGTTCGCTATAATCATTTCATATCCAACAAGCGTGATAATGTGAAGGGAAAGAATTTTTAAGTGACAGCCGTCGAAATTACTGTGAATTTGGATTTTCGGTGCAGTTATAAAAGTAAGAACAACGGAGAAAAACTATTACCTCGGTCGCTTGTTATGAAGCAGTGTTTGAAGCCACAAGCTGGTTTTGCTGAACGAGAAAAGAAGCTATACTGCCGCCTCGATTGCTTTAGTGAATGGCTGCATAGCCCGTATTTGTCGCTGGTTACTTGTGATTTATATTCTTGATGTCGGATTAACAAGCTGCAGTTATCTATCGGCGAGTGACTTGATCGGCGAATGGCTTCTCGATCACGAAGACAACACTTGTCTTCTTTCTTAGCTGGTCAAGGTACTTTAGTTCCATGTGTTTTCATGTGTTTTTTGACAAACTTTCAAACAAGCTCTTGTGGCTTTTTTGTTTGTTTTTGTCTTTTTTTCTTTCGATGAAATTGCATTTCTAGTATTCTAAGAAATGAATTAAAACGATTTGCTTCGGGCGCCGTTCTACCCTTCGCGAAAAAAAACCTCAGCTAGCTTCCAATTTTAAACTGACGCGTACACCGACCATATATGGAGAGCATGGTATAATAGCTCTTGTTATATTCCTAGACTTTCACTCAGCTAAACAGGGACTGCCATTGGTTGATTCTTGGTCACGTGGCCTTGACTAAAATCAAATGTATCCCGATCGTGATACATTAAACAATGTATCCCGCTCGGGATACATTGCAGCACGTGATCAAAGCATGGTGGAAAGTGGTGTGACAGAAGGCGGGAAAAACACCGCCAGGTCCAGCCAGTCTTCTTTTTCGTGGATGAACACAACAGCACAAAAACGAAGCCTCAAGCTAAAAAGCAACGATTTTTAAAGTTATCCCAGAAGTTACTGGAAGAAAAACAGCAGCTAGTGGAGGAAAAAGATGCAGATAATATGAGGAAAGTACTTTTGTTTGTAAATCATTCATTCAGTGGTTTTGAGAATTAAATTTGTGTTGTTATAAGTACCGAGTCGACTGTTTTGGTTCGCTCCGGTTATTCTTTTGTTGCTCTTGAAGTGAAAGTCTAGAAATATAACAAAACACTTAATGTCAGGTCCCTCGGGAAACCAGTGAGTTTTGTTTTCCCTCGAGTCCTGATGTTTCCCTCGACTTCGTCTCGGGAAACATCAGGACTCTTGGATGGCTAAGCCAATCAAAATGCTAGAATTGCATTATCCAATGATTCAGTTTTTAATAAATATGTATAGTATATGGCCTCGATCTTCATGAGTTCTCAGTAGTTCAAAGTGGATAGAGAGCGCCCGCCTTGAGTATGGGAGGTCATATGTATGCATCTTGTTGGGGACTCAGATGTTTTCCTTGTTCCACGCTAGTGAGATGCTGATTATTTCATTTTTACATAATTTCAAATGTTAGAAAATTATTTAAAAATATCCGCTTTTTTCTCATTACGAATAATAATCTGAAGTCTCTGCCCTTTCTGCACCTGATCTCATAGACAACAGAAGTTTACTTCAAGGTGTTCAAAAGGTCATGGTTCAAGGTTTTTAAATTGGTGGATTTCGATCCGTTTGGTGTCTTTTTGTGTTTCAATGAAGGTTCGTTGTTTTTAAACTTTAATTTTCGCGTTTTCTCACGTGTTATATTTTTTTAGATTCCCAAATTGAAATTCAAGGATTTAGACAACGCAAGTCCCTTGTTACCCGAAAAAACCGTTAGCGCACACATGTCAAAACTTTAATTTTGCTATTATTGCCTGTTACTGAATACGCATGCTCTGTTTGTCCTTATAGCCTCCCGCAACACCTTCGGTTGATGTAGAGAGATGTCAAAGGCGGTTTTCCTACGATGACAGCGCTCTTCATGACTCAGCTAGTAGCCTTACAAGAATACCGCGAGTTCTTAATTGACAACCTTCTATATTCCATTCTGTGTAATCCTTCACACAAGCTGCACACCTAGCTTAGTCTCTCCTAAAAACAAGTGCGAGATCCATTTAAGGGCTGGGTAAGCTCGCTTTCATCTCCCCCTACCCGTTCTCGTAATAGCTTCATTCATCTTAATGTCAATACTACCGAATCCGGTAAGAACCACGTAAATTTGCTCTCTCATTTTCTGATTTCAAGACCTTACTTTTAGCAATTTTTTTCTTCGACTTTCATTGTGACCGGTAGTTATCTGCGAGCCTAAATACTCTTAAGTTAACGCAAATTTGAAGCAATTCGATATGAATTTAATGCTTGCAAGAATTCAAAGGGAGAGAAAGAGTTTCTGGCAAATTGTTTCCAATCAAATATATATGTGAACTTATGTCTGGCAAACTCTTCAAAAGTTTATATACACACAATTATACGAAACTTATAACTTTTGAACTGCGATTAACGAGCGTAACTTTCAAAACAGCTGCTCCACAAAATGTCACTGATAACGTGTAACGCAAAAGGTAAACGAAGTATGACCAAAAAATCTACCAATTTGCGGTCCTTCGGGATTTTCTGTCTTAACTACGGGCGCGAACAAGAGAAAACGTTAACCCCCTATCCCTTGCGGCCCCTATCTATAAAAGAAATCGATATTTTTTTCTGGTATACTGACTATAAATAACAACTGTAAGTACTTTCCGTAATAAACGGGCGAGCTAATAGAGTGCTTCCTCGGAATTTCGCCTTATGGGCGAAATCCCTGCTCTTCGTGACCAATAAGTTCTTAACTGACTTTCAACGAGGGTATTTTCTAAAGTGACGAAAGGCACCTAAATATCTTTGTCCACTAGTATCCATTTACAATCCTGAAAGAACGTTGCCCTCCCCAAAAAACTATATTTTCATTCGGAAAAAGAGCCTTTCCTTGGGCGACCCCTAAACTATGTAACAGACAAAAAAAAGACTTTTCAATTCACTGACTTTAATCCAACTTAAGACATACATGGTAACTACATGGCCACACTTGGCAATACATAGCAATACAGAGTAATAAATAGCACCACATAGCAATACATGGCTATACACGCAGTACATGTCAATACATGTGATACATGGGAGTACATGGCTGTACATGACAGAACACGGCTATACATGGCAGTACATGACAATACATGGCTATACATGGCAAAACATAGTAATGCATGGTAATATATAGTAAAAGACGCCAAAACATGGTAATACAAAGTAATGCATGGTAATACATGGCGATACATGGCCGCACATCGTAATACATGGCGATACATGGTAATACATGGCAATACCCGGGTATACATGGTAATACATGACAATACATGCTATACATGGCTATACATGGTAATACATGGCAATACACGGCAATACATAGGTATACATGGTAATACATGGCTATACATGGTAATACATGGCAATAAATAGCTATATATGGCTATACATGGTAATACATGGCAATACATGGCATTACATGGGTATACACGGCTATACATGGTAATACATGTCAATACATGGCATTACATGGGTGTACACGGGTATACATGGTAATACATGGCAATGCATGGGTATACATGGTAATACATGGCTATACATAGTAATACATGGCAATATATGGCTATACATGGCTATACATGGCTATACATGGTAATACATGGCAATACATGGCATTACATGGGTATACATCGCTATACATGGTAATACATGGCAATACATAGGTATACATGATAATACATGACTACATGGTAATACATGGCAATACATGGCTATATATGGCTATACATGGCTATACATGGCTATACATGGTAATACATGGCAATACATGGCATTACATGGGTATACATCGCTATACATGGTAATACATGGCAATACATAGGTATACATGATAATACATGACTACATGGTAATACATGGCAATACATGGCTATATATGGCTATACATGGCTATATATGGTAATACATGGCAACACATGGCATTACATGGGTATACATGGCTACACATGGTAATACATGTCAATACATGGCATTACATGGGTATACACGGGTATACATGGCAATACATGGCAATACATGGGTATACATGGTAATACATGGCTATACATGGTAATACATGGTAATACATGGCTATCCATGGCTATACATGGTAATACATGGCAATACATGGCATTACATGGGTATACATCGCTATACATGGGTATACATGGTAATACATGGCTAAACATGGTAATACATGGCAATACATGGCTATACATGGTAATACATGGCAATACATGGCATTACATAGGTATACATGGCTATACCTGGCAATACATGGCATTACATGGCTATACATTGCTATACGTGGTAATACGTGGCAATACATGGCATTACATGGCTATACATGGCTATACATGGCAATTCATGGCTATACATGGCAATACATGGTAATACATGGCTGTACGTGGCAATACATGGGTATCCATGGTAAGACATGGCTATACATAACATTACATGGCTATACATGGCTATACATGGCTATACATCGCAATACATGGCATTACATGGCTATGCACGGCTATACATGGTAATACATGGAAATACATGGCATTACGTGGGTATACATCGATGTACATGGTAATACATGGCAATACATGGGTATTCATGGTAACACATGGCTATACATGGTAATACATGGCAATACATGGCATTACATAGGTGTACACGGGTATACATTGTAATACATGGCAATGCATGGGTATACATGGTAATACATGGCTATACATAGTAATACATGGCAATATATGGCTATACATGGCTATACATGGTAATACATGGCAATACATGGCGTTACATGGGTATACATCGCTATACATGGTAATACATTGCAATACATGGCTATACATGGTAATACATGGCAATACATGGCATTACATAGGTATACATGGCTATACCTGGCAATACATGGCATTACATGGCTATACATTGCTATAAGTGGTAATACGTGGCAATACATGGCATTACATGGCTATACATGGCTATACATGGCAATTCATGGCTATACATGGCAATACATGGTAATACATGGCTGTACGTGGCAATACATGGGTATCCATGGTAAGACATGGCTATACATAACATTACATGGCTATACATGGCTATACATGGCTATACATCGCAATACATGGCATTACATGGCTATGCACGGCTATACATGGTAATACATGGAAATACATGGCATTACGTGGGTATACATCGATGTACATGGTAATACATGGCAATACATGGGTATTCATGGTAACACATACATGGCAATACATGGCATTACATAGGTGTACACGGGTATACATTGTAATACATGGCAATGCATGGGTATACATGGTAATACAGCTATACATAGTAATACATGGCAATATATGGCTATAATACATGGGTATACATGGGCTATACATGGTAACATGGTAATACATGGCAATACATGGCATTACATATATACATGGCATGGCATACATGGCATACATGGCATACATGGCATACATGGTAATATACATGGTAATACATGGCAATACATGGCATTACATGGGTATACACATGGTAATACATGGCTATACATGGCAATACATGGTAATACATGGCTATACATAGTAATACATGGCAATATATGGCTATACATGGCTATACATGGTAATACATGGCAATACATGGCATTACATGGGTATACATGGCTATACATGGTACATCGCAATACATGGCATTACATGGCTATACATGGGTATACATGGTAATACATGGCATACATCGTAATACATGGTAATACATGGCTATATATGGCTATGGTAACATGGCTATACATGGTAATACATGGCAACACATGGCATTACATGGGTATACATGGCTATACATGGTAATGTCATGTCAATACATGGCACGGGTACATACATGGCAATGCATGGGTATACATGGTAATACATGGCTAATAGTAATACATGGCAATATATGGCATACATGGCATACATGGTAATATACATGGGGCGTACTACATGGCTATACATGGTAATACATTGCAATACATGGCAATACATGGCTATATATGGCTATACATGGCTATACATGGTAATATACATGGGGTAATATGGTAATACATGTCAATACATGGCATTACATGGCATTACATGGGTATACATGGTAATACATACATGGCTATACATGGTAGTACATAATACATGGCTATATACATGGTAATACATGGCAATACATGGCTAAACATGGCTATACATGGTAATACATGGCATGACATGGCAATACATGGCATGGCATGGCTATACATAGCATTACATGGCTATACATGGCTAAACATGGCTTTACATGGTAATTCATGGCGATACATGGTAAGACATGGCAATACATGGGTATACATGGTAATACATGGCTAAACATGGTAATACATGGCAATACATGGCTATACATGGTAATACATGGCAATACATGGCTACATTACATGGTAATACATGGCAATACATGGTATTACATGGCTATACATGTATACATGGTAATACATGGCACATGGCTATACATGGCTATACATGGTAATACATGGCAATACATGGCATTACATGGGTATACACGGGTATACATGGTAATACATGGCAATACATGGGTATACATGGTAATACATGGCTATACATGGTAATACATGTCAATACATGGCATTACATAGGTGTACACGGGTATACATTGTAATACATGGCAATGCATGGGTATACATGGTAATACATGGCTATACATAGTAATACATGGCAATATATGGCTATACATGGCTATACATGGTAATACATGGCAATACATGGCGTTACATGGGTATACATCGCTATACATGGTAATACATTGCAATACATGGGTATTCATGGTAATACATGACTATACATCGTAATACATGGCAATACATGGCTATATATGGCTATACATGGCTATACATGGTAATACATGGCAACACATGGCATTACATGGGTATACATGGCTTTATATGGTAATACATGTCAATACATGGCATTACATGGCATTACACGGGTATACATGGTAATACATGGCAATACATGGGTATACATGGTACTACATGGCTATACATGGTAGTACATGGCAATACATGGCTATACATGGCTATACATGGCTATACATGGTAATACATGGCAATACATGGCATTACATGGCTATACATGGTAATACATGGCAATACATGGCTAAACATGGCTATACATGGTAATACATGGCATGACATGGCTATACATGGCTATACATAGCATTACATGGCTATACATGGCTAAACATGGCTTTACATGGTAATTCATGGCGATACATGGTAAGACATGGCAATACATGGGTATACATGGTAATACATGGCTAAACATGGTAATACATGGCAATACATGGCTATACATGGTAATACATGGCAATACATGGCTATACATTGCTATACATGGTAATACATGACAATACATGGTATTACATGGCTATACATGGCTATACATGGTAATACATGGCAATACATGGCATTACATGGGTATACACGGGTATACATGGTAATACATGGCAATACATGGGTATACATGGTAATACATGGCTATACATGGTAATGCATGGCAATACATGGCTATACATGGTAATACATGGCAATACATGGCATTACATGGCTATACATGGCTATACATTGTAATACATGGCAATACATGGCTATACATGGCTATACATGGTAATACATGGCATTACATGGCTATACTTGGCTATACATGGTCATACATGGCAATACATGGCTAAACATAGCTATACATGGTAATACATGGCGATACATGGTAAGACATGGCAATACATGGGTATAGATGGTAATACATGGCTATACATGGTAATTGAAGGCAATACATGGCTATACATAGTAATACATGGCATTACATAGGTATACATGGCTATACATGGCTATACCTGGCAATACATGGCATTATATGGGTATAGTAGCACAGTAAGAATTAGTCTTCCTTTTAAAGATCAAGTGGCCGCTAATGCGATTGGCCCTACTTTGAAACCAGTTTTCGTGAGCAAGAAATTGGGGCAAGACCTTAGACCCAAAGAAATCAAGCCGTCAATTGTTAATAAGCAGTGTGTTGTTTACCATTTTTCATGTGATCTGTGCGATGCAGATTATGTCGGGTACACAGCCCGACACCTTCATCAACGCATTGCTGAGCACAAAAATTCGGCAATCGGTAGACATTTCTTAGAAGCTCACGGTAACAACAACCTTTTGAGAGAAAACCAATTCACGGTTTTAAGAAAGTGCCAGAGCAGATTTGATTGTTTAGTGTTTGAAATGCTCTTCATCAAGAAGCTTAAGCCCAATTTAAATATTCAGACGGACTCCATACGTGCGAAACTCTTTGTTTAATATTTTCTCACGTTACAATTTTTTTTTTAATCAGCTATTGTTGTTTTTTTAGTATTTATAGACCAAAAATCACTAATTTATTTTGACTTGATAATGACGTTCAGCTAACGTCGAAACGTCGTCGCTTTTTAGCAATTTTAATCTTAAAATGATTTTAAGAAATTTTTTATCGCAATTTTTTATAGTTAAATGTTTAATTAATTAAATTACAAAATTTCTGAACGATATAAGATATTGACTGCATACGATGATAATATTTTCACGCTTTTTTCGTGGATTTAACATGTTTTCCATAGAGATCTTCAAGTTTTATTTCAAATCTTGGACGTTACAAGGAGTGTCACAGTAAAGGCCATAAAGTTGACCCGGGTGATAGAGTAACCCTACCTGTGAAATTTGCTTGTAAACAAGAACTAACTTTAACCCGCTTGCTGGGTAATTCCCTAGCACAAGGCTAACCCTTTCTCCTCGTAAACAGGCCCTTAGAAAACATCAACATGCAGAAGAAGCCGCTATTCAAACCTCATTTAATATTCTTAATCCCTGATGATGTTAATTAACGTATGGGTTGTCAGTTCGCAACGGTCAGCCGAAGAAAAATTCGCCCCTCCCTCCAAACCCTACCTTTTCTGTAGTATACGGTTGAGTAAGGAACCGGCGTGCTATTCCTTTGTCATTTTTCGACTGGGAGGGGCTATAGCTAGGGCTATATCTTAATGCTAATAGAGATATTGAACAGTTAGGGTTTGTAAAGAAAAGAGTTCTTAAATGCATAAATGAAGCATATTATCTATAAAAAAAAACTCGCCAATGTGCTAAATGAACATTTATTGGCTTCAAAACAGCGGATACAACAAGATCAGGTTTACAATTTAACCCAAACTGGTTAAACCTAATATTCCCGGATTTTTGAGCTAAAATCCGACAATCTACCAGAAGGGTCCTCGCGCGCGGGAGGGGTTTGCAAAGTCTTTCATTCTAAACCTTCATGATCGGGCTTCGTCATCTTCTCTTCCCAACTTACAGCATTGTGGTCAAAACTATCTGAAAACAGTTTCAATTTTCGAAAACGAATTTAGCTTGAACGTTTTCTTCGCAACAAAAATAAAACAGACGAAGATGGGGTGTCTTCTACTTTTGGCTTACGGCCTGCTGTTTTCTAGTATTTACAGAGATTATTTTGTGGTCGCAACTAAGTCTATGCAAGAATATTCTCGTAAACGCTTTAAATAACTGGAACTCTTAAAACTGGGCGCAAAGTACTTGTTCTTTTACCACCCACATTCCAATACCCAATTCTCGTTTCTCTGCTTATCTCGTCTTGCCACTGTACATGTGTGTTTGCCACGTAGGCAGAAAACAGCAGCCAATGGAGAAAGGTTAAGCAGCCTTTTTTCAGAAACTAAACCGAGAGTAAGTTTTTTTGTTCACCGTGACGAGAAAAGTGTCCGTTGTAGCAAGTTGGGCGGTCAGCTAACAGAGTTTACGACGGTATATAATATATTATAAAATTATATCAAATCAACTCAATTAATAAACGAGTAGAAGTCATTATTAACAGAAGTTTATTGGACACCTGTAACTTCAATTCTTTTTTAATCTCTAGACAAGTAGCCATTATTTTAATAATTGCTTGTCAGTTTTTATTGCTTAACAGAGAAAACTCATGGATCTAGACATTTTCGGTTTTATACCAGTTAAAACATCTATTTATGGTTAAAATGATATAAATATTTACTTTATAGAATATCTAAATATGCATACCCTATTTTACGACAGTAGTAAAAAGATATAAAAGATGAATTTCGGTCGAACTTATCCTCAAATGCCATAATGGGGGGAAGAGAATAAACGTAGAGTTACCTAGTGGGGAAGTCACAATTGTGAAAAATTTTAAACAGGGGTGAATGAATTCACCGGAAAAAACAAAGGTGGCTCTTAAGGGCAGCTTGCCACTCCTCACAGACTATTTTTCCTTACATTGTCGAGCACATAGGGGCTGTTTACATAGTGGGAGAAAGATCCTAACACTAACTGAGGAAGTTCTAACATGGCGGATCATCCTAGCGCCGTACGTTTTCTACAGTTTACATGACAAAGGTTGTACTTGTCGTCCCTAGCGCTGGAATCTTCCTAGCTGAGAGGTAGAAGAAATAGCATAGCACGAGGAAGACCCTCGCACCATGTTCGCTGCTTTTTCTAGGAAGATCCTAGTAGTAGCTATAAGGGACAAACCAGAAAAACGTTGTGATCACTTTAATTAAAATTGTGATAATTCAGCTGAAAGGTAGTTACATGCTAGGAAAGAGAGCAGAAGAGCCCAAATATTAAATTGCATGTTGGTTATTGTCACTCGCCATCTTTAATTCCTTCACTTTTTTGGTAACCACATGGACTGAAAAATCATCATGTAAACCGAACGAAAAGATGTCTCGCCTTCTAGGATCTTCCTCCCTCTACGAAGGCAGCCCCTTACTGTAAACGCTGGTCAGACGGTTTTAAATGTAGCAAGTGTAACTTGGGGAAGAGTATCAAATCTACCAGCCCAACCCCTCGGGATGCATACATTTGAAACAAATATGGCCACCCGTTGAGTAAGCACCCGATCTTGACGATCTTACGGGACTGTAAACAGACAATGTGGTAGTTGTTGAAAGATGGTCGTTAATTGGTATAGGTTCGACAGTAATTTATCAGTTTTGTTTCGGTCTTATGGATCATCGACCAAAATATACAAATCAAACAAGAGCCATAATGGCTCTTGAGGCAAATTAATATTTATTTAATTCTTTGCATTAATTTATTATGTTTTCTTCGCGGTGTACCGTATCTACTAGTTTGCTTTGACTCCAGTCACGATCTCCTTTTCTTGATGCTTTGAACCATTGTCTTAAAAGAAAAGAAAATATACTGGGTAAAACTTAAGTTAGCTAAAGAGCCAATTGTTGATTAAGTTGTTATAATGACATATCGTGAAATTCCCAAAATAAGCCCCGGGCCTTATATTTTTCAAAGACCTTTTTTGAGGGGCTTATTTTTGGAGGGGCTTATACACATGTATTCGGAGGGGCTTATCTGTGGAGGGAAATTTGCGTTTTAAAATTGATTGGGCTAGCCTTATAGTTGGAAGGAAATTTACCGTTTTTGCTTTGTTTTACTTTGTATTTGAGGGCAATTTTCAAGTACAAGCCCCTGGGCGAGGGGGGGGGCTTATATTTAGAGGGGCGATTTAACAGAGGGTTTTTGCGTTACGAGTTTGGGGGCTTATATTTGGAGGGCTTATTTTCTGAATTTTACGGCAACCAAATGGAACCCCATTAACGGTTTAGGGATGGCAGATGCCATCACAACAAAAACGAAACGATTCACCTGATTTTACACGGAGTGTCTGTGCTATCAATGGTTGAACATTTTGGAAGGGGCTTGAGTAAAGGGGAAGTCGATTAAATTCAAAACACAGTCGTTTCAGCCGTATCGGAAGCTTGAGTCGACATACCGTCTCGAGTTTAAAGTATAAGCATATGGTCATTTAGCGTCTATTCAAAGTGGATGTTTAATCAGAGTAAAGCACTTCATGGTTAAAACATGTCAAATATCTAATTTTGGAAACTCGCAAGAACTGTTAATCTATGAATAAACATACTAACAACTCAAAAGTAGGTTGAGTTTGATCCTCCGGGTGAACGTAGTCCTGAATAGGACCAGTAGGACTGCTGTTGTTGACATTGACTGTGCGGTAGTCATCTTCAGAGTCAAAGTGAGTTGGATCACGTCAGTTGATAGTATTATACTCTGGTTATTGATCTGATTGGTCAATTACGTCGCGATGCTATTGGTTGTCTGTCAGTTACGCCGTGATGTTATTGTCTATGAAAACTCGTAATCAGTAATTGGTGCGTTTCGATCTGTCTATTGTCACATTTAAACAGTCGCATATGGTTAGTCAACTTGTCAGTTCTCCAGTCGTTCTCTCGTGATTTTGCTTGATCTCGTCAATAAGTCATTTGTACGGTGCTGGTAAGTTTTGGCTACAACTCTACGGCAGGTATTTCGTATTCTACAGTCTACTATCAACGACTTTCCTTAGAAAGCTGGTTTACTAATCTATAGAACAAACGCCACTATTTATATTTACCTTTATTTTTGCAGAGGATTACAGCTGATGTTTGCACCTCTGGTGTTACTGATGAAACTGATGTTGCTGAGACCTGCACAGATGTTGATTGAATCTCACTTGTTGCTTGTGCCTCGGGTGTTACTGGGGAAACTATTCTTGCTTGGACATCCTCAGGTGTTGATGGGAAAACACGTGTTGCTTGCACTATGGGTGTTACTGGGGAAACCGTTGTTGCTTGGTCCTGCACAGAAGTTGGTGAGACCATATGTGTTGCTGGGGCCTCAGATGTTGCTGGCACCAGGGTTGTTTCGTAATGTGGTGTTTTGGAGGTTTGTTCTAAACCAAATGATGGAAAAAAAAAATATGTCATAGGGTTGTCACAAACCACAAAAACTTTCCTTAGTGGCCAAAGGAAAACTCACATCTGTCGCTGTAAACCATAGATGAGGTGATTTAGGAACAGCGAATTACACTAAATATTAATTTACAATACGTCAGTACAGCTAATAACCCCTATGTAACGGCTACTAAGTCCATCATGTAACGTCCCGTTTAATTCTTTTATTCCACTGTAACTTTTGGAACTATGTGTAACAGGTTATAACCCCTGTTGATAATTTGAATCTTAAGACCATGTATGGGGGCTACATATACAGTGCAATTAAACGACAGCATTGTTTTTTTTTTTTTTTTTAATCGACTCATGCTATGTGTTTGTTTCACTTTACTTGCGTGTATACATTAGTCACACCTGAGTAGTGAAAATTTGGACATCAAACCCTTCCACTATTTAAATAACCTATTCAAGTGACATTCACATGGCCATCCTAGTACGATATTGAGGTCTCTGTAGTCTCTGTGGTTCTTTTTTCTGTTTTTGTTTTTGTTCATTGAAAACCACAAGGCCACCAGCGTTTTTTGCGGTGAAACCAGGGAAGTGACAGCGCTTAACTTGCATACAAATTATTGTCAGTTCCAATATATTTACAGCTACATCGTTCTCCTAGCTACGTACACTTGTGTAAATGCCTTATATAGTGTGAAATAAAGAAAGATTGAAAGATTTGGCTCTGAATTTCCTTACTTACTTGAGCCAGTGGTAGTGCTGTAACCACCAGTGACAATAAGATTCAGTTCCTTATAAGTACATCCCCCTCGGTTAACTGCCTGGCAAAAATAACTCCCACTGTCATCTGGCTGTACTTTACCCAAATTCAGAATACAGGTTTTACTCGGGCTGGGTTTTTCGTAAGTGCAGATAGGCATCTCCTGATACTTTGAGTTGACAAACCAGTTCATTTCATACGGATAGTAGTAGTGCGAGCTTGCTCACACAGATGGCTCTTTCGGCCCCTTTGCAGTACATGTCAGGGTAACATTGGAGCCCTTTTGCACCAGAATATCGTTGTAAAAAGGTTGTGGATTTTCTGAAAGCGAACTGTCACCATGAACAGTGGCAAAGAAGTCCACTTGTGGGGCGTCTTACATATAGTTAAAAGAAAAAGGTATTTAATAGGACAATTCTTATCAATAATAATACAATTTCTTGAATTATTTTTTTATGTCGTCTCCAGCCACCCCCACACCGCAAGATCAAGCCAACAAATCAACAATAGGATGAATCAAGGAAGCGGCGCGAACGGCAAAAGGTAAAATTTTCCCATCCTTAAGTCAGTACCGATTCGGGTGAAGAAGTGGTTTGGAATTTTTCCAATACTTTGTCTATAATTGTAGCTACAGGAACTTTGATTAGATAATAGACTACGAGAGTGTTATATTTAATTTTCTTTTCCGAGTTAATGGTGTGGGAAGCGTTACACATACACGCGAGCGGTGAACCAACGATCTTCATGGCAAGAAGTCGTATATATAATGCCGAAAAGAAAAAAGAGAAAAAAAAGCAGTCTGAAGTTGAGCTCACGTGAATGAGGAGATCGTCGATAGCAGAAGGCTATTGCCAGTGAGATCGTAGATGAATCACCTTCAGTGTAACCGCTATCCAAGAATCTCCCCTTTTAGCAATGCCATGTTTAGATGCCAAAATATAATCTCATTGGTTCCTAGGGACCGGTCATTATTTATCGCCTGGGGGAGATTATGGGGGGGAATCACTTGATTTTAAGGATAACAAAAGGGGGGATCAGTCGTAACCGAGAACCCAAAAGGGAAGATCACTGAAAATTTTGGAAGGATCAAGGCAGAGGAGAAACCGCTCAAATTTGCTTGGAAAATGAAGACATTGGGTCGGGGGATCGGGAAAGTCATCAAATGTTATTAGGGGCGATCACTTCAGTGAAGTAACACTCAAAGGGGGGATGTTTCTCGTCACCCACCAATTCTAAACCAGGATAGAATATTTTGAGGAGAATTCGCGTAAATTTCTCATAATTAGAGGAAACTTTTCCCAATATTCAGCAGCACCACCAGTATATCAAGCTGTGTGGAGAGTCTAACTGAAGGCTGGTGGAGGTTGCGAAATATTTAGTTTCAACATCAAAGCACTCTCTCTCCGTTTTTTTTGGGAAACTGATCGAAGCTAGTATGCATGTATTCTGTTGCTGAAGAGAAAACTTTTTAACTTTCCAGCTCCGCTTTTACACTCCGTTCTATGCCCAACAAATCACAAACGCTCAGCTGCGAAGCCAGTTTTGTTTACCTGATCGCTTAGTTATTCTAAATGAAGGTAGAATACTATTCTCAAACAATTAGAAAAAAGGATTTTGCAAAAATTCCAAAAATTCTCTGACTGCTGGGTATTCAGATTTTTATATGACCCTTCTCGGCTGCCGAGTATATAGCCACAGCGTATATACATACAACAAAGTGAATCTACCTAAGCGTAGATATCCAGTAATTGCACCAATAGAGAACTTAAACAACAACTTTTAACGTGCATCACGATTTCTTGCCGTCGTTGTACGACTACAACGTGAAAATGGAGAAAGTTACATTATTACATCATTGCCAAACAGCGAACACAAACGCAAACGTGATCAACTCAATGCTTAGATTTCAGTCATCGCCGAAAATAAACCACATGCTCATCACTAGACTCAGTTGCATACAATGAAAGACGTGACGATTCTTATCCCCAGCCTCCACAGTCTCCGCTAGAAATGTCTCGGAGTATATAGCCTACCATTTGCGTCGGTCACACGAAAAAAAAAAACAGAAGCCTGCATTTTTAGAATCTCGCTCGCTTACAGCAAGCTTATCAATTAATCAGTTCTCTTACTTCCATATGCTGTTTTCCCACAGTGCTGTCCCCAACTTTCCAATACGCTCGACCATACCACGAAAATTACCAAGAACGTGGTAGAATGCAATCTTCGAGAAGTAGCCATTTTACATCAAACTCAATCTTCAAAAATTCAGCAGTACTAATTACTCGTTGTAACATTTCAATTGCTTGCTTTAAAAAAAGTCCAATAGTTTTATAGCTTTTTTATCCATCATATGTTTTTTTTCCAAATAGTGACTCAATAATAATAATAATAATAATAATAATAATAACATATTTTTAACAGAATAAACAATAAGATATAAAAACTACTATAATTATAATTTCAACATGGGTTCTGACTTCACCCTTACCTATTACTCAACGGAAATTTTTTCCCCTTTTGAATCGCGTCATGCCTTTTTTTTTTAATTTGCGGACGAGAATCCTTATATCACTTGCGGAGTGCAAGTAAGGACTTGCTGAGGTAACGACCTTAGTTTGATACAAACCTCTTTCCTTTTCTTATGCAAATTATGTAACCTGAGATCAGGCTCAGTTTTCGTTTCGCTCTGTAAATAACATTCTGCTGGGCAAGGCGAAACGAAAAGACAGCCTGATACAAACTTTCTACGAAACGTCTGCGCCCACTTTTTTGATTGGTTGACATTTGCTGAATCAGCCAACCAAAATTACTTCCGTTGCTTGTTTTTTAATTTAGTATGCAAATTTTTCGTACGTGGGAAAACTGCACACTCGCTGACATAAAGAATAGCTTTTACGTACTAAAAATAAAACAGTCAGCACAATCATACTTAACTTCTTGCGAGATTAAAGGAGATGTCGAAGATTATTTCTGTTGGCGTAGAAGGCAAAGAGTTTTCGAAAAGACGGCGACAAGATGTGCAAGTTTAAATATTTTGGCTAGGCGCGCTCGAATTTAAAATACTGACATTTCTATTTTTCTGTTGCCTTTATATTTTCCTCTGCACTTTTCTCCTATTTTCAGTACATAAATCTTTAAAAATCTTGGAGAAATAATCCGTGAACTTTATTTTTCAAAGAGTGTATAAATGTCTCAGAACAAACCAAACGAGTTTTCAAGTGCATTTAGTCCCGTGAGTACAATTGCAATTTGCGAATTTACTAGAGAAACAAACGTCTAAAAAATATATTTTTTTGGTAAATATTATCTGCCAATTTGAAAGACGAAACGACACTACTAAAAATGCATGCTCAACTCACCTATAAATAAAACGAAAAACGATATTACAAAATTAAACTGACACTTTGTAGTTCTCTTTAGTCAGCTGTTTAGTTGTGTTGTTGTTTTACTGCAGGACTGAAAAGCTCGCTAAATTAATTAATCGAAATTAACAAACAGCAAACAGTTAACGAGCGAGGACAACAGCTTTCCTGCTTTATTTTTTACAAAAAGCGAAGGCAAACAACAAGTCTGTTACCTTAAGACCAGCGCCACTAGCTTTTTTAATAATGCCTACAAAAATTCCTTGAACCGCGATGCGATATTTTTCGTCTAATACTTCACAGTGGCGATTGAGGTTTCTTTCGCAGTGACCCTCCACTTGCGCACCCCGTTCAGAGGAGTCATTCCCGGCTAAACTTTCAAAAGAAACCATTTTTAAGATGGACAGTGTTTTAATTACACTCGTTTGTTGGTAAATCAAAAGGCACATTGTTCGCGGTCAACAACTTAAAAGAGAGATTAGTAGTATAGGAGGGACCGGTTAGGCCTCTTTTTTGGGCAGGAATTTCATTAACTTGGGCAGGAATGAATTAACACCAATGACGTCATAACCTTTTGTCTTGATCTCATGAATAAACTGCTGTGGTATCTCATGAAGATAAGGTCATGTGCTATTTTTAGTTGGATTATGTCATGGTTGGTATAACCGGTTTGACAGGTTTTAGTTATTTTCAGAAGATGATGTCATATGTATTCCGGGGTACTATGATGGCATAGTTGTTTTGATTGGTTGACCGGAATTAGAAAGACGCTCTTTGACTGTCTCGTTTGACGAAGCATTCTGGTTGGTTGCCGTATTTTTTATTGTTTGAACGGCATAAAGGCCTACTCACTGCCTTCCTGCATACTAATTTGGATTTCCTGCATACTAATTAAGTGCCTTCCTCCATATATAATGAAGTGGATAGGTTTACTAATGAGCGTAACTCTACTACAATAGGAACAATAGGCTTGCCTAGACTTGCCCGGTAAGTAACTTGAGCCCGATTTTCGGACCGTCTATTAAAAGAAAAATAGGAATAAGAGAAGCGATCACCTAGCAACGCGACAAACGGCTTCCTATATCTTATTTAGCGCTAAAACTCAGATATACATAAACAAAACACATACAGAAAGTGGAGTTGAAAAGTCTTTATTTCAATTTAGTTTACGTCTTCTTATTTAGCGCTAAAACTCGGATATACATAAACAAAACATACACAAATTGGAGCTGAAAACGCTTTATTTCAAGTTTGTCTGACTATTACAGAACAGTTTTCTCCCATCTATCTCGAGGACATGAAAAACTATTCAAGTCTCAACGTTTCACGCACGGTTAATCAGTTAATTATGCGAGTTCACAAGCCCAAAGTTGAATACAAATTGGTTCTACAGGAAAAACCTCAAGGGAGCAACCTTGACGTATTATTACAAAACAAAATAACAAGGATCAATTAAAACACGCGACTCATAATTGCTAGCAATAAAACCACAAGAGAGATACCGTTTTGAAAACTTTATTAAAAGTCAATAACAAAAAGAGTCAAATACACAGCGATTTGAAAGGAAAAGGAATGAAATTAATCCTTTGACTGACTATTACAAATCAGCTTTTTCCGCCCTATTTCGAGGAATAATAATCTTATTCGCAAATAGTCGGGTTATATAGTGTCAGAAAGGCCAAACACAGGCCAGAAAGGCCATAACCAGGCCTGAAAGGCCAAATCCAGGTCAAAAGGGACAAAAGGAGACAAACGGGCCATTTCTAGTCATGTGTCTTTAATTTTCTCAAACACACGAGTGGGTGTCGCGCGCCGCTAGTCACGCAACAGCTCTCAACATTGGAATCATCATCTTTATTCGGGGTAATCATAAATAACAGTGCCTAATTTAAAAAAGTTTTGATCGTGAATTAGTAATTGGTATTTCAAATTTCAGATTTTTTTAATTATTGTATCAGTTTACTATTATTGTTATTATTTTCAAGTCAACAATAAAACAGTTCATTCACCAGCAGAGCACAACAATCATGTTTCATTGCTTTTTCGGAGCAGCCTCTTTCTCGTAAACACGAACCACATTGCTGTTTTGTAGTTTAGCAAACTGAAGCCAATGTTTCCTTTCTATCCCCGATAATTCATGTACTCGAGTTAAATGATCTGCTAATCGAACTAAAATGATTAAATTCAACCAATGATTTATTTACAAACTATGAACAAATGACATTTTTTAGACATTTAGGAAACTCTTTTATATGAAATGCTATTTACAAACTTGAGAAAACGAAAATTATTTACAAAATTTTTTTTTTTTTACAATATTTACAACCTTTTACCTTTCAAATGAGTAAAACTATTTGCAACACAAAATTTATTGTTGATTTTCAAGGGCAGATCGGGCAGAAAGGGCAGAAAGGGCACCTTTTCAGCCCTGTGTGTTTTCCCCTGGGCGCGCGTGGAGATCTCGCGTGTAAGTCGTGTAAGGAAATTAGTTTGTAAATAAATCATTGGTCGAATTTAATCGTGGCTTGCTTCCTGACTCGACGCGCACGACTTACACGCGAGATCTCCACGCGCGCCCAGGGGAAAACACACAGGGCTGAAAAGGTGCCCTTTTCAAAACATAGCATTCTGAAACTTTGTACGTTGTTTTCAAAACGTGCAGATCATAGACAGCATCGTGCCGATTCTCACCCTAGATTCTGTGCTACCATGACAAGTCATAACCAAATTACCATAAGATCAAATTTAAAAGTAGCTCTCTAGAGAGAGCACGTGTACAGTTTTTACTTTTATTTAAGTCGGTTTTGCACTCCCGATTTTATCGCCTTGTTATGTCATATAAGCATGAAACGCAACCTGTTTTGCCGAATAAAAAATAAAGCGTGGTTTCTAATGCATAAAAGAAAAAGTTTTGCGAAAAAACTAAAACGTGATAAACATTTCGCGTTATTTCAGTCATCGCCAAAATTAAACCACACACTCATCACAAGAATCATTCGCATAAAATGAAAGCCGTCACCATTCTTATTCTTACTTCGATATGTTGTTTTTCCTATCTAACTGTCCCCAACTTTCCAATACGCTCGACCAACCCACAGCAATTACCGAGAACGTGGTAGAATACAATCTACTAGAAGTAGCCATTTTGCATAAACTCAATCTTCAAAAATTCAGCAGTACTCATTGTAAAATTTTAATTCCTTGCTTAAAAAAGTATTTTAATATTTTTATGGCTTTTTTATTCATCATATGTCTTTTTCCAAGTAGTTACTTAATAATGATCATCATCATTATCAAAACATATTTTAACACGATGTCCATTTCAGTCATAATATGAATGATTTGCCTTATCTCTCGCTAGGAGACCTACAACAAAATGAATTTTTCCCCAAAAGTAAATCTTGAGGTTTTCTTGTGCCTTAATTAAGGGTCTGAATGGGGCTGAGTGTTCAGTGTTATTTGCCCAAAATTTTTAGCGTTTGCTGTTAAATTGGCCAATTTTTTTTTCTGTTTACTGTTTCCGGAGAAAATACTGTTAAGTGTTTTGAAGGGTTTTTTGTGAAAAGCCCATAGGGTCGGTTAATTAAACGAAATCTAAGT